AAAAAAAAAAAAAAAAGAATGTAATTCAAGATCCAAATGGCAGAGACACACAGGTCATGGTACTGGGAAGGGAGAGAGAACTTCTGTAACACTCCTTTCTGCCTCGCATTTGGATGTGTTAACTAACCCAGATTGTCTCCAAAGCCTGTCCTTTCTAGTTTTATGGAAATTCCCTTATGAAGGGACGATTGGTTAAATCACTGGGCATCAGTGGGTAAACTTACTGTCACCCCCGTCTCTCCAACAGGTCGCAAATTTCTGATCCTCTGATCACATGGTTGGTAGGGATTTTCAAGTCACCCCCTTAGCACAAATTTAGGCATGAATTAAAAGAGCTTGTTATGGTTAATAAAAGTTATTCTTTTCACCTTTATGAATGCAGAGCTTTTTCAGGAACTGGGTGTGAAAAGAGGAAATTTCAGCAGAAAAATAACCTCCGTGTTTTAAAATAAACAGTGGAATACAAATAATCTGATCCATTGAAGGGAAGCACCTCTATCTTTATTACTCTGGAGTAAAGGGACACCTCAGTCTTTCCTACTCCAAAGAGGAGATGGTCTGTGTTATCAGCTTCCCCAGTATAAGACCAGGACCTTCAATTATTGGGGTTCCTGCACTGTCTATGCAGGCAACATCTGACCTTCATCATATTGAGGGGTTTCAGAGGCTGGGATTCAGTACGTGGGGTTCTTGCGTTCCTCTGAGAAAGATTTTGGCAGTTTCCCATTCAGTAGTACATGGCAAGCTTACTAAGGAAAAAGATGTTTGTGTAGACATGAACTGGCAAAGGCTACATTTTAAAAGGGAAGGTTTATTAGGAAAAAGGAAAACAGACGTTCTGCCTACCTACACAGACACAAGGGAGCAGAGAGCTGCATTTGGCCAGAGCAAGGGGTATTCTTACGCAGTTTTCTTTGGGGGTGGGGGAGAGGCTCATTCTTCATGGCTTTTATCTCTTTGAGATCAATTGCATTGGTTTTCTGTAACTGATATTCTTTTCTGCCCCTACCTCAGATTCTTGGAAAATTGCATAGCCAGTTTATCGACTGGTTAATCATCCCAACCCTCATCTCTGGTTTTGATCCTAGTGAAACTTTCCATCTCCAGTTTTTCTACTATGAGTTCCCATCAGTGTGACCCTGTGGGAAGCAGGGTAGGGGGTTTAGGCTGCGATGTTACTCTGCTATGACTGTGAGTCAGACACTATCTCCTATCTCCCCCAGATCTATGAACTGGGACATGTGATTTATTCTCTTGCAACAGAGAAAAGTCTCAGATCCTACACAATTCCTATTTTAATAAAGATAAAGACAAGGAGCCCTGGGGGAGACCAACATTGATACAAGAACCTAATGATTAGAATGAACCCTAAATTCTCATCAGAAACAATCTAGCCAGAAGACAATGGGACATCGATTTAAAGTGCAGAAGGAAAGAAAAGCTTTCAACTTACACTTCTGTACACAGCGCAGAATACATTTCAAATACAAAGCCAATTACAGGCATTTTCAAATGTCAAGATCTGCCGCCAGCAGACCCATACTATAAGAAAGAAATTCTTTAGGATGAAGGGCATTGCAGATGAGAATCTACAGAAAGGAACAGAGGTAACTGGGTATCATAAAAATATGGATAATATAAAATACTATTTTCATTCTTGTATTAAATGACTTAAAATGCAATTGACTAACATCACAATTTTGTCATTTTATACCTTGAAACAACTGGAAAATAATAGTAACAAATGTCAATGGAGAATTTAAATTTAAATAACGACATTATTGGGAGACTTATATTACATATACAAGCAAAGAATATGACCCCAAAAAAGCGCAGAATATAGGCAGGAAAAGTAAATGGAAATATATTTTTGTAAAGTTCCTATATGTGAAATTTTACAATATTAATTCAGAGTAAAATCCAGTATGAGATTTAGTAAGACTTAAGTATTACACACTCAAAAATATGTGAAAATACATTTTTACAAAGACTCAAGAACATAAGAAAAAAGTAAAGAACAGAAGGGATACATATAAAGCAAATATCAAGACTGACAACAGATCAATTATTATATTTAAAACCCCAGAGAAAGGCAGAGTTTGTCAAAATTACTAAGAAAATAAGACCCAGCTATATGTTTATAAAATGTATACTTTAAATATAAAAACACAGTTTGAAAGTAAAAAATGGAGGGGTGGGAACTAGATCTAAAAAAGTTTGGTATAGTTATGTTAATTTTGGACAAAGTAGATGTCAAGGATTATTTCCTGAAATCAAAAAACACCATCTTATAGAGAAAAAGTTATTAATTTATAGAGAAGACAGAAATTCTAAATATGAATGGTTTTAACAACAGAACTTCTAAAGGCATCAAACAGAAATTGACAGAAGCAAAGGAAAAAATATAAAATCCACAATCATAGTCAACTATCTTAACACTCTCTCTCAGTAATTAATAAAATAAGTACAGGCAAAATCAGCAAAAGCATGCTGGAAAATAAGGCAATCTCTTCATTTCAAATCATTGAAATAATATAAATCATATTTTCTCAATCACAATGCCATTAAGTTAGAAATCAACAACAGTAGATTATTTAGAAAATGCCCAAATATTTGGAAAGCAAGCAATATACCTCGAAATATGTCATGAGTTAATGAGGAAGCCACAGAGAAAAGTAGGGAATACTTCATATTGAAATGGTGTAAAGATAAATAAATAGATCACTGTAACAGAATTAGAATATCTAAATATAGACCCAAACATATATGGTCAATTCATATCTTTTCATGAAGATGTCAAAGTAATTCAATGAGAAAAGAAAGTCTTTCCACAAATGGCTCTGGAATATCCAGAAATCTCAATAGCAAAAAATAAAACTTGGGACTTGTATCTAGAATATATAAAGAGACTTTTCAACTCAATAGCAAAATGATAACCCAAATAAAAGATAGGCAGTGGGTCTCAGTAGAAATTTCTCCAAATAAGATACACAAATAGCCAATAAGTACATGTAAAGATCTTCAACGTCATCACCTATCAGAGAAATACAAATCAAAACTATGGTGAAATGCCATCAATAACCATCCTTAGGCTGGCCATAATTAAAAAAAAAAAAGACAGATAAGTATTGGAGAGAGTAAGCAGGGATCCTCCTATACTACCACTAACATTATAAAATGACCCAAAGCTTTGAAAAAAATCTTGTCATTTCCTCAAAAGTTCAACATGAAAGTACCACATGACCTAGCAACTATACTTTTGGGTACATACCCAAGAGAAATGAAAATAAATATCCACACAAAACTGTACATGAATGTTCACTG